TCTCCCATCCTCTCTCTCTAAAATCAATAAAAAAATATTTGAAAATTTAAAAAAAAAGAGATATTCCCTCCTCTTGTCTAATTGGGCGATGCCACCCACACAGAGGTCCCTAAAGTGGGTCTTACTTTTCCTTTTACAGAAGCTGAGGCAGGAATGTGGCTGCAGCCTGGAGGGGTGGTTCTGATGGGTTCCCTTTGGGGCGGGACCTCTGGGCAAAGTGTGGGGAAGGTGGTTCCTCTGTGGAGGAGCCTGGCAGCCCCTCTCCCACGTGAGGAAGGCCTGCCTGGTCAGCAGGGGGCGCTGCCACAAGCACTGGACAGGGTCTGCTGTGTGTCCTCAGCTGGAAACCCACATGTCTGTCTGTAGTCGGTGCCCTCTGCCGGGTGGCCCCAGGGGTCCCAGAGGAGCTGCAGACCAGGCCTGTCCCAGCCTCACTCATTACAGGACGGAGACACAGAAGCGGGGACGATTCTGGGAGAGTCCGTGGGAGGGACAGGTTCGCATGAATGGACCTTCTATCCCTGGGGCCTGGGGAGGGTAAGAGAGATGGGGTGCTCCCTCCAAGCTCAGGGCCTTAGAAGGGGGAGCCCTAGAGAAGCCCACCATGGCCTGCACCCCTCTCACCTCAGCCTCCTCCCTCACTGCACAGGCTCCTGAGTCCTCACATCTGGGAACAGGTCCCAGGAAGACACAGGCCCTGCCCTGCCCCCTGGGCCCAGCCTGTTGTTAGACCCAGAGACTCACAATCCTGGTGTCTTTCTCCCCTTCATCCCAGGGGCCTGGGCCCACGCAGCCTGGGCTGCACAGGAAACCTCCGTGTTAGGGTGGGGGGTCCCTGGTCAGAGGGTCTCCATCACCTGCACCAGAGACAGCAACATCATCAAAACGTTTCACACCACCTGGCCGGTGTGGCTCAGAGGTTGAGCTTCGACCTAAAACCAGGAGGTTATGGTTCAATTCCCAGTCAGGATACAGGCCCAGGTTGTGTATTTGATCCCCAGCAGGGGTCATACAGGAGGCTGGCGATCCATGATTCTCTCTCACCATTGATGTTTCTATCTCTCTCTCCCTCTTCCTGCCTCACTGAAACCAATAAAAAATATATTTAAAAGGAGGATTAGAGGCATGCAATGACATGCTTACGAAAAAGACTAACGTTCATGCCAACTGGCACCCACAGCTCCTCAGGCTGCCCCCACCCCTCACCTGGGGCAGCCCCGACTGACCCTCAGGGTCTCCCTGGCTCTCTGCCCCTGAAGCCTCTGCCTGTGGGTGACTCTGACTCTGAGGTGGGAGCCCCCTCCATGTGATGCGGCCTGAGTGCCGGGCAGGTTGTTGCATCAGAACCTGGGGGGGCGCCTCAGGTCTTTCCAGCTGCCCTTCCCCCCTGGCCAGCGGGCCAAGACCTCCCCCCACGCCTCTTGCGCCTGCGGTCATGCTCTGTCCCCGATGGTCCCCCTGAGCCAGGGGGTCAGTGCACAGAACTGGGGGAGGCAGGACCTGTCCCTCATGGGCTCAGTCAGCAGGGGACACAGTGGTGCATCCAGGCCTGGGCACCAGGGGGCGCTCAGGGGCTGCTGCTGAAGGGCTGGGCTCATTGGAGCTGCAACCTGTTCCCTGGCCCTGCCTGGTGCCCTGTGCTCAGGGCTCACAGCTGTGACCTTGCCACCCCCTGGGCCCCACACAGCCCCACCCCCGCCCTCACCCTGCCATCCTCAGGCACAAGGACCAGAACCAGGGCCCAGGGAGGGATCAGATAGATGGGGTCTCATTTGCATGAGTGGGCCCTCCCTCCCGCAGACCATGAAGAGGGGAAGGGAGAGGTGTGGGGAGCTCTGCTTCAGCTGTGGGGCCTCAGGAGGCAGGACTCAGGGATGACCTCCACCATGGCCTGGGCCCCTCTCCTCCTCACCCTCCTGGCTCACTGCACAGGTGACTGGATAAGGGGACGGGGAAGGGGCCTTGGGAAGACACATGGGCCCTGCTTCCTCCTCTTGTCTCTAGACCCAGACTCACCATCTCTGTGTCTCCCCCTCTTGCAGGATCCTGGGCCCAGTCTGTGCTGACTCAGCAGTCCTCAGTGTCGGGGGCCCTGGGCGAGAGGGTCACCATCTCCTGCACTGGAAGCAGCTCCAACATTGGGGGTGGTTACGCTGTGTCCTGGTACCAGCAGCTCCCAGGAAAGGCCCCCAAATGCATCATCTATGATAATAGCAACCGACCCTCAGGGGTCCCTGATCGATTCTCTGGCTCCAAGTCTGGCAGCTCAGCCTCCCTGACCATCACGAGGCTGCAGGCGGAGGACGAGGCCGACTATTACTGCTCAGCTTGGGACAGCAGTCTCAAAGCTCGCACTGTGCTCCAGGCCTGTGGGGAACTGAGACAAAAACCTGCTGTCCCTCTTGAAATGGGGCTCCCCTAGCAGACCCCACTCCTCCGACAAGCCAGCTGCTTCCTGTGCTTGCCCGACACCGGGGCCTGAGACCCACTTCAGTGAACTTGGTTCAGAAAACCTGTCCCCTTTCTTTCCATTCCTCCCCTTCCCCTCCAGCCTGGATTTCCTCAAATGGACCAGAAACTCCCAGATGTGGGGGCAGGCTGCCCTGGGTCGGAGTCCACGATGTGTCAGGGCAGGACCAGGGCCCCAGGGTCCAGCTGTGTCTGAGGGGAGCACATCCATAGTGTCCACTAGGGGGCCCACCTGTTCCCAGCAACAGCCCCCCGATCCTCAGCCCCTCTGTGGAGGTGGACCCTGGGGTCTCGGATGGACCCTTGGGCTCAAGTCTGGGGAGGGAGCTTCCTGTCCATCGCTGTGCTGAGGGCTAGAGAGCGAGGCTGCTTCTCAATGTGCCCGCCGAGCGGTCGGCCTGCCCCTCTGCTGGGATGGAGCCCCCACAGCGCCCTCTCGGTCTCAGCCGTGACTGCTGCTGCTGCTGGGGCTGCAGCCACCTGGTCCAGGTTCATGCGGGGGTGTCACCCGGGTGGGAAGCCCCTCCCCTCCCTTTGTCCTCACAGTCACCCACCACAGCTCCTCCTGAGAAAAAGGGACCCAGAGGAACAGGAGACCAGTGGCCTTGTAGCTGCGGACACAGGGTCTCTGCACAGCAGGCGGGGCCTGAGGGGCGGCTCCTTGTGGTCATCTCAGCCCTGGGCTGTGACCGACGAATCCAGCGTCTCCATCCTCAGCCAGTTCCCTAGTTCCAGAGGCTCCGGAGCTGCCTCATCCTCCCATTGGTCTCCATGGAGCCGTTCTCTGTGCTCACCCGGAGGCTCCTCCATCGCTGCTGGGCCGGGACCAGTGGCCCGGGCTGGGTCAGAGCCTCGGGGCTGTGGGAATGACTCCTTTCCATTCCATCCATGCTGAGGTCTAACCACTGATCCCTTCCTGTTTCCTTCATTGTCTAAACCTGCAGAGTCACGCTGACTCATAACGGAGTGAGAGTCCCACAGGCCTGTTCCTGATGGTTGTGGCGATGCCCTCCTCCCACCCATTAGCTAAGAGCTGCTGTAGGACGAAGTCTCATGTCTGTGGACCGAGTGAAGTTTCCATATTGTAAACGTCTCTGCTTCTATGTGATGAGTTTTTATTAGAAATATGTTTTAGATTCGGTGAAAGGTTCTGTCAGAATATTGATTGAGATAATATGAGTTTATCTGTTGATCTAATAATATGATATAGGATATTAAGGGCGGATCAATATGCAGCCCACCTTGGAAGACTGTAATATATCACACCTGCCAGCCCAATTGATGTCTCTCTTTCTCCCTCTCCCGTCCTCTCTCTCTAAAATCAATAAAAACATATTTAAATTTAAAAAGGAGTTCTTCCCTCCTCTTGTCTAATTGGGCGATGCCACCCACACAGAGGCCCCTGAAGTGGGTCTTACCTTTTCCTTCCACAGAAGCTGAGGCGGGAATGTGGCTGCAGCTGGAGGGGAGGCTCTGATGGGTTCCCTTTGGGGCGGGGCCTCTGGGCAGAGTGTGAGGAAGGTGGTTCCTCTGTGCAGGGCCTGGCAGCCCCTCTCCCATGTGAGGAAGCCCTGCCTGGACAGAAGGGGGCGCTGCCACAAGCACTGGACAGGGTCTGCTGGTCACCCTCAGCTGGAAACCCACATGTCTGTCTGTAGTCGGTGCCCTCTGCCAGGTGGCCTGGAGTCCCTAGGGAGCCCCAGACCAGGCCTGTCCCAGCCCCCACATCCCAGAACCTGGACACAGCAGAGAGGACGTTTTTGGAAGAGTGTGTGGAAGAGACACCTTTGCATGAAGGGACCTTCTATCCCTGGGGCCTGGGGAGGGTAAGAGAGATGGGGTGCTCCCACAAAGCCCAGGGCCTTAGTAGGGGGAGCCCTGGAGCACGCCCACCATGGCCTGCACCCCTCTCACCTCGGCCCTCCTCTCTCACTGCACAGGCACCTGAGTCCTCACATCTGGGAACAGGTCGCAGGAAGACACAGGCTCTGCCCTGTCCCCTGGGCCCCAGCCTGTTGTTAGACCCATAGACTCACAATCCTGGTGTCTTTCTCCCCTTAATTCCAGGGGCCTGGCCCACAAAGCCTGGGCTGCCACAGGAAACCTCCATGTTAGGGTGGGGGGTCCCTGGGTCAGAGGGTCACCATCACCTGCCCTGGAAGCACAACATCATCAAGAGGTTTCACACCAACACGGCCAGTGTGGCTCAGGGGTTGAGCAACGACCTATGAACCAGGAGGTCATGGTTCTATTCCCAGTCAGGGCACCACGGTTCTATTCCCAGTCAGGGCAACTTCCAGATTGCCGGGCCCAATCTCTAGTGGGGGGCGTGCAAGAAGCCCCCAATGAATGATTCTCTCTCATTGATGTTTCTATCTTTCTCTCCCTCTTCCTGCCTCACAGAAACCAATAAAAAAATATATTTAAAAGAAGGCTTAGAGGCATGCAATGGCATACTTATAAGAAAGAATAAGGTTCATGCCAACTGGCACCCACAGCTCCCTCAGGCTGCCCCCAACCCCTCACCTGGGGCAGCCCCGACTGACCTTCAGGGTCTCCCTGGCTCTCTGCCCCGGAAGTCTCTGCCTGTGGGTGACTCTGACTCTGAGGCGGGAGCCCCTCCATGTGATGCGGCCTGAGTGCCGGGCAGGTTGTTGCATCAGAACCTGGGGGGGCGCCTCAGGTCTTTCCAGCTGCCCTTCCCCCCTGGCCAGCGGGCCAAGACCTCCCCCCACGCCTCTTGCGCCTGCGGTCATGCTCTGTCCCCGATGGTCCCTGACACTAGTCCCAGCATCATTGGCTCAAACTTGTAGGATGGAGTGAATCTAATGGAGGGAAAGGTCCCCTTTGCCTGGGTCTGTGACCATGGCTCACCATGGCGTGTCTGGGCCTGGACACTAGAGGGCGCCCTGGGCTCGCTCCTGAGGGACCTACAGGGTTTGACTGGGGCCAACCTCCTGGCACCATCTGGTGCTGCTTCAGGGCTCACAGCTGTGGTTCCCTTAGCAACAGGCCCCACACAGCCCCGCCCTGCACACACCCAGGGCCATCCTCAGGCAGAGGCACCTGCCCCAGGGCCCTGGGTGGAATCAGATAGATGGGGTCTCATTTGCATGAGTGGGCCCTCCCTCCCACAGACTATGAAGAGGGGAAGGGAGAGGTGTGGGGAGCTCTGCTTCAGCTGTGGGGCCTCAGGAGGCAGGACTCAGGGATGACCTCCACCATGGCCTGGGCCCCTCTCCTCCTCACCCTCCTGGCTCACTGCACAGGTGACTGGATAAGGGGACGGGGAAGGGGCCTTGGGGAGACACATGGGCCCTGCTTCCTCCTCTTGTCTCTAGACCCAGACTCACCATCTCTGTGTCTCCCCCTCTTGCAGGATCCTGGGCCCAGTCTGTGCTGACTCAGCCATCCTCAGTGTCGGGGTCCCCGGGCGAGAGGGTCACCATCTCCTGCACTGGAAGCAGCACCAATGTTGGGAGTGGTAATGGTGTACAGTGGTACCAGCAGCTCCCAGGAAATGCCCCCAAACTCATCATCTATGGTACTAGCACTAGACCCTCAGGGGTCCCTGACAGATTCTCTGGCTCCAGGTCTGGCAACTCAGCTACCCTGACCATCACGGGGCTGCAGGCTGAGGACGAGGCCGACTATTACTGCTCAGCATGGGACAGCAGTCTCAAAGCTCCCACAGTGCTACAGGCCTATTAGGAACTGAGACAAAAACCTGCTGTCCCTCTTGAAACGGGGCTCCCCTCGCAGACCCCACTCCTCCGACAAGCCAGCTGCTTCCTGTGCTTGCTCGACACCGGGGCCTGAGACCCACTTCAGTGAACTTGGTTCAGAAAACCTGTCCCCATTCTTTCCATTCTGCCCCCTCCCCTCCAGCCTTCATTTCCTCAAATGGAGCAGAAACTCCCGGAAGCGGGGGCAGCTGCCCTGGGTCAGAGTCCACGATGGGTCAGGGCAGGACCAGGGCCCCAGGGTCCAGCTGTGTCTGAGTCGAGCACCTCCATAGTGTCCACTAGAGGGGCCACCAGTTCCCAGCAACAACCCCCCAATCCTCAGACCCCATGCCCTCCTCCCACCCATTAACTAAGAGCTGCTGTAGGACGAAGTCTCCTGTCTGTGGAGCAAGTGAAGTTTCCATATTGTAAACGTCTCTGCTTCTATCTGATGAGTTTTTATTAGAAATATGTTTTAGATTCCGTGAAAGGCTCTATCAGAATATCAGATGAGACAATCTGAGTTTATCAGTTGAGCTAATAATATGATATGTGATATAAAGGGCTGATCAATACACAGCCCACCTTGGAAGACTGTAATATATCACACCTGCCAGCCCAATTGATGTTTCTCTCTCTCTCTCTCTCTCTCTCTTTCTCTCTTTCTTTCTCTCTCTCTTTCTCTCCCATCCTCTCTCTCTAAAATCAATAAAAAAATTAATTTAAAAAGGAGATCTTCCGTCCTCTTGTCTAAGCTGGCGATGCCACCCACACAGAGACCCTGAAGTGGGTCTTACCTTTTCCTTCCACAGAAGCTGAGGCGGGAATGTGGCTGCAGCTGGAGGGGAGGCTCTGATGGTTTCCCTTTGGGGAGGGGCCTCTGGGCAGAGTGTGGGGAAGGTGGTTCCTCTGTGCAGGGCTTGGCAGCCCCTCCCTCGAGGAGGAAGCCCTGCCTGGGACAGCACCGGGCACTGCCACAAGCACTGGGCAGGGTCTGCTGGGCGCCCTCAGCTGGAAACCCACACGTCTGTCTGTAGTCGGTGCCCTCTGCCGGGTGGTTCCTGGGTTCCCTCAGGGAACCCCTACCAGGCCTGTCCCAGCTCCCCCCACCCCCCATCCCAGGACCAGGACACAGCACACAGGACATTTTGGGGACAGTTGGTGGGAAGGACAGTTTTGAATGAAGGGACCTTCTATCCCTGGGGCCTGGGGAGGGTAAGAGAGATGG